AGAGAGAAAGAGAGAAAGAGAGAAATCACCCACCCAGGGAGTTAGCCATGCCTCCACCCACCTGTTGAGATTTTGGGCACACATGCACACACACACACACACACACACACACACACACACACACGCCAGGCATGAATTTCAAGCTGCTGGATCCAGGACTCGAACCATGGTTGACCATGTAGGAGTCCAGCACCTTAACCACTACACCATTTGCTGGTCCTGACCTAGAATCTTGATTGCCTGGACTTTTAATCAGTTTGTGTGCATGTCTACCTCCCACCGGCCAGGGCTCCTCAAGGCAGTGACATATCTTTTAAATCTCATGCAGAAGTGACCACATCCAACTTTATCTGCCTCAAAATTAGTGCTTGAAAAAGATTTATTGAGTGACTATCTAAGAGACTTTCTAGATATAAATTGAGTATGTTGAAAAACTCCATTATCTGGGGCTAGTAGTGGCATGGTAATTAAGGCAGCTGGATCCCACATGGTCGACTGCACAGTTGAAGCCCTGGACACGGTGGCTTAAAAAACATACTGGGCACATGTGTGTGCAAGCCAAAATCCTGAGAGGAGAATGAAGAAGGGACTGTGGTGGTATGACCATTCCTTCTGGGAGTACTTTCTCAATTTCCCTCTCTCTTTCTGTCTCTCTCCAGTGAGCACACACACCCTATAGCAAAAACAAAAACAAACAAAAAACATAGCACAGTCCCATCAGCCACTCCAGAAAGGACACCAAGCCGTGGCCTCCCGAGTCACCTGTCCCCTGACAGCACTTCTCATGTCCACGGAAGCCTGAGTCGTCCTGGGCTGCCAAGCAAAGCTGACCCATCTTATTCATTTTAGGCTTGTGGATGGTTCCGGAAGCTCACAACTTGCCCCCGTGGAGTATCGTTTTGCTGAGTTCTCTGTCATACTGCTCCCCTGACCATGAACCAGCCAGATGACCCCGACCCCAGCCCCGAGCCTCTGTGCGTGGTGTGCGGCCAAGTCCACTCCCCCGAGGAAAACCACTTCTACACGTACAAGGAAGACGTGGACGACGACCTCATATGCCACATCTGCCTGCAGGCCCTACTGGACCCCCTGGACACCCCATGTGGCCACACCTACTGCACCCTGTGCCTCACCAACTTCCTGGTGGAGAAGGACTTCTGCCCGGTCGACCGCAAGCCTCTGGTCCTGCAGCACTGCAAGAAGTCCAGCATCCTGGTCAGCAAGCTCCTCAACAAGCTGCTGGTGACCTGCCCTTTCACGGAGCACTGCTCTGCGGTGCTGCAGCGCTGTGACCTCGAGCAGCACTTCCAAACCAGGTAGGGCCCCCTGCCAACAGAGCCCAAAAGCCCTGCAGGGGCTCCCCGGCTTGGTCTCCAGTGCCCTGAGAGCTCTCCCGGGTGACCGTTTCTCTGTCTTTTCTTTGCAGCCAGTGAAAGGACCCATTCAAAATAAGGACCATTCTGGATGTGGGGGCTGTGGTCATTGTGAGCAGAGCACGCAGTGGGGTTGTAGGTGTGTGCCTGTGTGTGCATAGCATGGTTTTTCATCATAGTAGAATATACAGAGCGTAAATTTGCGGCCGTTAGCCATGTTTAAGTGTGCAGGTCAGGGATATTCGGGACTTCTGCATTTCGTGCAACTGTTACCACCATTCATCTCTAGAACTTTCCCGTTTTCTCACACTGAGACTCTGGACCTATTGAAAATAGCTCCTGATTCGACTGAACCCTTCCACCCGCGTTCTATTATACTTTCTGCCGTAAATTCGGCCAATCTACTCCCTCTTATACACGGAACCGCACAGCACTGACTCCTTTGTGACTGGCTTATTTCACATGCGTGTGTTTGGAAGAGCTAGAGGCTGGAAACAGCTGAGGGCTGCTTTCTCTGAACTTCATGATCTCCAAAAAGATTTGCTAGTGGGCATTGCTTATTTTTTCACTAAAAAATTTTTAAAGTGCCAGGATCAGCAGATGGCATAATGGTTATGTCACTGAACTCCCATATAGTCGACTGTAGTTCAGGTCCCAGACCCGGTGGTTTCAAACTCTTGCTGGGTGCATGTGCGTGCATGCCCAAAATCCCACGAAGAGAATGGAGAAGAAGGGATTGCAGCATGGCCGACCACCCTGGGGAATGATTTCTTGCTTTCTGTTGCTCTGTCTCTAGATCCCCAGTGAGCACATGCACCCCATAGCAAAAAAAAAAAAAAAAATTAATGTCATCCAGGAGCTAGATGGTGGCACAGTGGCAAGACCATGCTTTGCAAGGCTGACCCACTTGGGCAGGTACTGGGTTCGCATCTGGGAGCCTCCCTGAGTAAAGGGGGCACATGAGTGTGGGGCCCTGACCTGGGGCTGACTGAAGCTGGGGGCAGATCAGGGTGTGAGGACCCTGTGGAAGTCGCCTTCTCTCGCTCTATTTCTCTTGCTCATGGAAGAAAAACATTAACGAACTAAAAATATGTCATCCAGTTTGCCCCCTGATTATTAGATTTTTCTCTGTCCAGGAATTGACAAGGCCCAGCTGCTCTTTGGGAAGATGTCAGATATTCTCAGCTGTTTTAAAAGAACGCAGGGAAATGTTTGACATGCAAGTGCCTTGCTTTGCGAGCTTCGCAGCTGAGGCACACCCCCGGGTGACAAGTTACGGTGTGATTGCCGCTGCTGGTGGCTGCTGTGGGCCCCGCCTGGCTGCCTCGAGTTCACCCCCTTGTGTTGTCGTGTTCCTGGGCATTCTTTGCACTGATGGCCTCAGGGGCAACGCTCTTGTTCCATGTGAGAAATTCTCTTAGAACATTTACGGTGCTTGGGACAGGGAGAATGATAATACCACAACTACTGCGTAAGAGGAAACTTAGGAGCAGGTGTTTATCTTCGTTCCCGTCATGGCAAGAACAAGAGGCAGGTCCAGGCATTTTTTAAAATGTCACATACCTTAGGCCATGAATCTGAGTCTTTGTCTTTGGGGCCATGCATGGATTCTCAAATATGGAAGTCTGCTTCCAAAGCCACAGCCTGGGCACCACACTTAGTGCATGGCTTCCACGCTCCTTATGTCCGGGGACTCATTTCTCCCCAACGTGTGGAGTCAGATGCTTTTAGCTTGGATTCCTTTTGCCACATGAGGTCTTTATAGCTGGCATTTGAACTATTTAGGATGTTACAGCTGGCATTTGGACTATTTAGGATGCCCACTTACATGAGTCCTCAGAAGGTGAAGCCAAAGGAGAAGCGGGTAAGGGAGTCTCTCTGTGACCTTTGCTGAAAGTTTAACCACAGTATGAGAGGCTTTGTGGGCCTGGGGTCAAAGGTGAGTTGCTAAAAGATGCCAACAGGTCTAAAGCCAGGGCCAAAATCGAGGCCATGCTGGGGAGGGCAGGTGAGGAACCTGAGGACCGAGTGAGCACCCAGCCATCCACACCATGTCCGCAGGGTCCTGACCTGCTGCGCTCTGTATATTTATGTTGGGGAGCGGATGAATTCCCTGCTCTTTAGCAATGACCACAAACTTTGTGACTTACAATGTCACAACGTTGTTATCTCACTGTTTAGGGGTTAGAAGTACCACACTGGCTTCACTGGACTAACCACAGGGCGTCGGCAGGGCTGCCATCACAGTCCGCATTGTGTTGCTTACAGACATACCCGAGACTGGGTGACTTAGAAGGAACTGGCATGTGTGACTCACAGTTCTGGAAGCTGGAAAGTCCGAAGGCCTGAGGTTGGCATCCATCCACCTATGTCACAGCACAGTGACACAGTCGAGAACATGGCAGGAGCGTGCTGAGGGAGTGAGACCTAGGCGGCCCTCATCCTTTGGAAACCAGCCCTCATAGATCATGAGGTGATACCATCACGATCCAATCACCACCCTCTAGCCTACCTCTGAAAAGTCTCACCCTCGGGGCCAGCAGGGGGTGTGGTGCTCAAGGCGCTGGACTCCCACGTGGCCGACCACGGTTGGAGTCCCTGACCTTGCAACTTGCTTTCTTACTTTCCTTCTCTTTCTTTCTCTCTCTGTCTCTCTCTGGTGAGTGCATGTTCTCTCTAACAAATTTTTAAAATAATAATAAAATTAAATATTAAAAAAGTCTTACCCTCTCCTAATGCCATTATATTCAGGACCAAATTCCAAAGCATGAACCCTGAGGGGTCAAACCATTATGTGAACTCTAACAGCTATATTCCTTTGGCTCCAGGGGAGAATCCCTCGCCTTATCTTTTCCACCTTCTAGAAGTTTCTTAATATCTTTGGCATGTGCCTTCTTCCACTCTCAAGGCCAGCCTGCAGCACTTTCCAATTTCAATCTCTCTCTCTTTTTCTCTGTCTCTGTATCTCTCTCTCTCTCTTTCTATGTATATGTATATGTATATGTATATGTATATGTATATGTATATGTATATGTATATGTATGTATGTATACCTCCTCCCACCTTCTCTGTCTCCTCTGCTTCCTGTTAATGACTCTGACCCGCTTTCTCTTGTAAAGGCTCAGGATTCCCTTGGGCTGACCCCAATAAACCAGCAGAGTTTCCTCCTCTCTATGCCCTTAATCTAACAAATCAGCAGGATCCTTTTTGCCGTGTGAAATGACGTACCCACAGGTTCTGAGCATGAGGGGGTGGACATCCTTGGGGGTCATTTTTCTGCCCACCACAGGAATAAGGAGAGGGAGAGAAGGAAAGAAATGGAGGTGCTCTTGGAAGAGAAAATGAAAAGAGCAACTCCTGCTCATCCCCCTATCAAGGACTGATTTGTGGCTGAAAATACCCCTAAAAATAGGGGTAGGATGGCCACCTGGCTCTGAGGGTCAGGTCAGAACAGACACAGGGGAGAGAAGGAGGCCCCTGGAGACCCCAGGTCTCTTCAGGAGAGAGATGAGTGCACTTCAGCCGCCAGAGCAGCGGCGGTAATTCATTCACCCGCCTACACAGCCAGTGACCCGCACACCTCAAACAAGGAAGCCGAGATCAAGGCTTGGTGAGCACTCAGCTGATAATGAAATGCACATCTGAAAATTAACAGTGAGGGAAGAGCCCCAGATTGACGGGAATCGAGCCATCTCTGGCAGCTGGCCTCAGCATCCTTCGCTCGTTGCAGCTCCCTGGAGAGGAAGCTCCCACACCTAGGAGGCGCTGGGCCTCAACACCTCTCTTGAACCTCTCCACACTTCAGCTTCCTAAGTAGGTTGAAACCAACATTTCCAAAAATATAACGTATACATGAGTCATCAAATGCTTAATATACACTCCCTCCTCTCCCGCCCTCTGGGCAATTTTTTTAAAAAGAATTATTTATTTAATTTTATTTATTCATTCATTTGTTTTTAAGTTGATCAGAGAAAGACACAGAAAGAGAGAGACAGAGAGAGAAAGTGAGAAAGCAAGCCACCAGGTTCAGGACTCGAACCGTGATCAGCCATGTTGGGAGTGTCCAGTACCTTAACCACCGCACCACCTGCTGGTCTTTCCCGCTCGGCCTTAGGAGGGCCCCCCCCGCCACTCTTCCTCCCCTTAGAAGAGATGTTAAGAAGACTATGTAGTTAATACCTTTGAAATTCCTTAAACCAGGGAAACTTAGAGGTTACCCAGAGCCAAGTGTTCCCCTTGCTTTTCATTATGAGGCCTCCAGGTTGATAGCTGCTCACATGGGAGTGTTGTCATACGTATATGCTAATGTGTAGCCTTCGTTTATATAGTATTACATTTCTGTGTGTCTTTAATGTCACTTTGCTCCATAAATGTACATGTCAACACAATAGCTTTTTAAGTGTTCACTATTTTTTAAATGGGCAGATAAAAATTGTATGGTGTTCAGCACTGTGTTGTGAAATGCGTGAATGTGCTGGAATGGCTACACCAGCTGTTTAACAGGTATTACTTCACATACTTAGCATTTTTGGTGATGTAAACACTTCAATCTACTACTTAGCCAGTTTTCAAATATACGATGCATTGTTATTATCTGTAGTCACCATGTTGGACAATAGGTCTCTAGAACGTTTTCCTCTTGACTGAAACTTTTTACCCTTTGACCAATAGTAGATTTGAGTCATGGCATAGAGGTTAAGGTGCTGGACTCCTACGTGGCCGACTGTGGTTTGAGTCCTAGACCCAGTAGCTTGCAAATCACGCCAAGTGCATGTGTGTGTGTGTGCCCAAAATCCCAAGAGGAGAATAAAGGAGAAGGAATTGCAGTGTGGCTATCCACCCCAAGGGGTGATTTCCCACATTCTTTCTCTCTGGCTCTGTCTCTGTCTCTCTGGTGAGCTCACGTGCCCTATGGCAAAAACCTCAATAATAATAATAATAAC